GATGTAGGGGGGTGCAGCACCCAAAAAAGGGGGGGGTGACATGGGTGGGGGTGCAGCACCCAAAAGGGGGTTATGTCATGGGGGGCAGTACAGCACCCCAAAAAGGGGGTGGTGATGTAGGAGGGGGTGCAGCACCCAAAGGGGGGGTGATGTCATGGGTGGGGGGGTGCAACACCCCAAAAAGGGTGTTATTTGCTGGGGGGGGTGTGCAGCACCCAAAAAAGGGGGGGGTGACGTGGGTGGGGGTGCAGCCCCCAAAACAGGGTTATGTCATGAGGGGAGGGTACAGCACCAAAAAAAGGGGGTGATGCTGGGGGGGTGCAGCACCCAAAGGGGGGTGATGCCATGGGTGGGGGTGCAGCCCCTGCTCAGGGTCACTCACCCACGAGGGAAGAGGTGCCCGGGAAGAGCCAGGTAGGATCCGTCCAGGAACGTGGCACTGAACTGTCCTGGGGCGTCTGGGGGGACAGGGGAGTCAGGGGTGGACTGACCCACCCACCCACACTTTGGGTGGAAAAATGGGGAAAATGGGAGCAGGGACCCACCGCCGCCCCCGCTGCCCTCCTGCCAGTCGTGCTCCAGCTCTGCCAGCACCGAGCCTGCGGGAGAGAGGGGAGATGGGGGACACGTGTGCCCTCCGTGTCCCCAGGTGTCCCCTCCACATCTCCAAGTGTCCTCAAGTACACCCTCCCGTGTCCCCAGGTGTCCCAAGTGCCCTCCCGGTGTCTCCAGGTGTTCCCCCAACCCCCCAGGTGTTCCCAAGTGTCCCCAAGTGTTCCCCATGTGTGTATCCCCCGCCGTGTCCCCAGGGGTCCCCTTGTGTCCTCCCATGTCCTCAGGTGGCTTCAAGTCCCCAAGTATTCCAAGTGTGTGTGTCCTTCTGTGTCCCCAGGTGTCCCCAGGTGCCCTCCCCATCTCCCCAGGTGTCTCCAAGTGTCCCAAATGTCCCCAAATATTCCCCACGTGTGTATCTATCCCCCCTAGTGTCCCCAGGTGCCCTTCTCGTGTCCCCAGGTGTCCCCCCATCTCCCCAGGTGTCTCCAAGTGTCCCCAGGTATCCCCAAGTGTTCCCCATGTGTGTCTCCTCTGCTGTGTCCCCAAGAGTCCCCCCCATGTCCCCAGGTAACTTCAAGTCCCCAAGTATCCCCCAAGTGTGTGTCCCTGCCATGCCCCCAGGTGTCCCCTGTGTCTTCAGGCGTCCTTTTTTTGTCCCCAGATGTCCCCAAGGGTCTCCAGATGTTCCTATGTGTCCTCAGGTGTGTCCCTAGGCGTGGCCCCCCTGCCATGTCCCCAGGTGTCCCCTCTGTGTCGCCCCCCCACCACATCCCCAGGTGTCCCCCCGTGTCCCCCCATGTCTCCAAGTGTCACCAGGTGTCCCCAGTTGTCTCCGAGTGTCCCCAGGTATTTTCAAGTATTTCCGATTGTGTGTGTCCTCTGTGTCCCCAAGTGTGTCCCCCTCTGCCCCAAGTGTCCTCCCCATGTCCCCAGGTGTCCCCAGGTCCCTAAGTATCCCAAAGTATTCCCCAAGTGTGTGTCCCCGCCTTGTCCCCACGTGTCCCCCTGCGTCCCCAGATATTCCCAAGGGTCTCCAGCTGTCCCTACATGTCCCCAGCTGTCCCCCCCATCATGTCTCCAGGTGTCTCCAAGTGTCCCCAAGTTTCCCCCTCCCCATATCTTTTCACGTCCCCTTGTGTCCCCCCATGTCCTCAGGTGACCTGACCCCCTTCTGTGTCCCCAAGTGTCCCCAGATGTTCCCCCTGAGCCCCCCACCCCATGTCTGCCCTCACAGTGCTGACAGTGTCCCTGAGTGCTCCCTGTGCCCCCAGGTGTTCCCCAGTGCCCCCCATCCCCCTGTCCCTCGTGTCCCCAGTGCTGGCATTGTCCCCAGGTCTTCCCCAGTGCCCCCCATGTCCCCTCCTGTCCCCCCCCATCCCCGCTGTCCCCTCTCGGTGCTGGCAGTGTCCCCAGGTACACCCTACGCCCCCAGGTATTTCCAAATCCCCCCCCGTCCCCACTGTCCCCTCTCAGTGCTGGCAGTGTCCCCAGATCTCCCCCCCATCCCCCCCTGTGCCCGGTGTCCCCTCACGGTGCTCCCAGAGTGTTCCCATGGGTGCAATGTCCCCAGGTGTTCCCATGTACCCCCTGTCCTCCCCTGTCCCCAGCATCCCCTCATGGTGCTGGCAGTGTCCCTGGGTGCTCCCCAGTGCCCCCCATGTCCCCTCTCATGCCCCCATGTCCCTGGTGTCCCCTCACTGTGCTGGCAGTGTCCTGAGGTGTTCCCCAGTGCCCCCCATGCCCCCCCTGTCCCCGTGTCCCCTCACGGTGCTGGCAGTGTCCCCAAGTGCCCCCC